CTGCTGAATTCCAGCCCCATCCCAGGTGGGAAAGGGGCAGGATGAGGCCTCAGCTGCCTGACTTTTCCTGGGATTAAGGCTCTCTCTGCTCCCTAAATAGCCCCAGGCTCCGGCTCTCCTTAAGGTCAGGAGCCTGCAGTGCCCTGGCCGGGCCGGGAGTCGCTGGGGGCCGGGAGGAATTCCTGGAAAATTATCCAAATTCCCTGGAAAACGGGATGGTTTCGAAAAAATAATTTAAAAAGTGGGATAATCGGAGTGATTTCCCCGTGGAAAACCAGCAGCTTTCCTGCTTTCCTGTTCCAGCAGTGGCTCAGGGATGCCCAAGGAATAGGGAGGCTCCCAGAAATTGTGGATTCCCCATCCCTGGAAGTGCCCAAGGCCGGGTTGGAGCAACGTGGGATAGCGGGAAGTGTCCCTTTGGAACTGGGTGATCTTTAAGGATCCAGGATTCCATGTACTGGTTTTGATTGGATATTAGGGATAAACTCTTCCCTAGGAAGGTGGGGAGGCCCTGGCACAGATTGCCCAGGGAATTGTGGATTCCCAACCCCTGGAAGTGTCCAAGGCCAGGCTGGAGCTACCTGGGATAGTGGGAAGTGTCCCTTTGGAACTGGGTGATCTTTAAGGATCTTTAAGGATCCAGGATTCCATGTGCTGGTTTTGATTGGATATTAGGGATAAACTCTTCCCTGGGAGTGGAGGGAGGCCCTGGCACAGGTTGCACTGGGAATTGTGGATTCCCAACCCCTGGAATTGTCCAAGGCCGGGTTGGAGCAACCTGGGATAGCGGGAAGTGTCCCTTTGGGAACTGGGTGATCTTTAAGGTGCCCTTCCCATCCCATCCCATTCCATAACTCCATGACTCTGTTCCCAGACAGGCTGTGGATCCTCCCTGCTGCAGGGACCTGTGGCTTTTTATTTTAGGGAAAAGCTTAGGGAGGAAAACCATTCCCTCCGGGCCCGGTTATTCCATATCTCGCTCCGGGATTTCTCACCCCGGGAGCGCCGTTGGCGCCGGACAAACCAGCTCTGCCAGTCCCTGTTTTCCAGGAGCTGGAGTGGCTGGAATTAATCATTACCCTGCCCTGCCTGGGAGAGCCCTGGGAAGTCGGGAATTCGGAGCTGGAAGAGCTCCTGGGAGGCGGGAAGCGGGAGCTGCTCCCGGCCCTTGGCCCCCGGAGCGTT